ATTTTCAAACCGTGTTATATCAAAACCGTGTACAAAAAGACCGTGTAAAAACAGACTTAGGTGTATTTATTTCTCTTACGTAGTCTTTTGCTTGTCAAAAACATCCCTATTTCTTTACCATATTTTATTATAACAGAACATATGTTTGCCGCTCTCTGGTGCAAGACCTATGCCACAGTTGTTTGCAGTATGACGTTGGCAATAACATCATCATCATCGTCACCATCATCTGCCACAAACCATTCGCATCATTGAACACTCAAGCTATTGACATTTTGACGATGCCTAGATTAAAGAAGAAGATACTGTTTTTTTTTTTTCAAATTTCGCCACAACAGTATTCAAAGTTTTTGATGAAACTTGTAGAGCGAGTTTTGTTTTCGGCGCTGTGACTATGTGTGTGTATTTTTTTGGGAATGTCATAGAAAAAAGCTTGCAAAAATTTCGACAACAGAATTTAGCAACAAAAAATAACCACTTTGTGTTTTGCTTTAACAAAGCAATACCCATACAATAAAACAACGGCGGACATAAAACAAATCTATATTAGATTTGCAGTAAGACACAGACAAGTCTGCATAGAATCATTATCTGTGCGAGATTATGTGGAAGTGCTACTTTTATGGGTAAACAAATTTTAGTTTTTTTGAAATTATATCAAAACAAGTGCTGTGGAATTCAATATGGGCCATGCATCGGAAATTCCATTTTTCATTTATCTATTTATACAATGCATTATAAAAGCCAGTATGACCAATCACACTACTCCTCGCTTAAACTCGAAAGAGTAGCAAGAGGTAGAGAGAGACATCAAAGTCATATAACTATTACTTATTATCCATTTTGAAGCACTTGCTTTCAGGCCGAAATTCATAGGAAGAGTCGAAATTCGGTCCATTTGGGCTGAAATAGTCATTATTGGCACATGATACCTGAAATCGGATTGAGGATATATTTGGAGCTATATTCAAATCTGAACCGAAAAAAAAATTGGCAAAGGTATTTTCAGAGCTCTATCAGATATCTGGTACCAAATATCATTGTTGTCGAATGCATATTACGAATGTGAGGGACTTAAAGATCAAATTGGATGAAACATATATATGCGAGCTATTGCTATATCTGAAACGATTTTCACCAAATTTGATATACTTTCTTCTACACTGAATTCGGTCGGATGTGTCAAAATTCAGGTAATTTGGACTGATATTGGCCATTTGGTGAATAATTAACCCGAAATCGGTTGAATATATATATGGGTGCAATATCCAAATCTGAACCGATCTTAATACAACTTAGCAGAGATATTTCTGGGCTGTATCTGATATCTACATCATTCTTGTGGGGTGCATATTACGAATGTGAAAGACTTAAAACCAAATCGGATAAAACATATATGTATATGGAGCTATTGCTATATCTGAAACGATTTTCACCAAATTTGTCGTTCTTGCTTCTAGACTGAATTCGGTTGGATGTGCCAAAATTCAGGACTTTTGGACTGATATTGGCCATTTGGTGCACAATTAACCCGGAATCGGTATAAGATATATGGAAGAAATATCTAAATTTTTACCGATTATGAACAATTTCAATAGGGTTCGCCCTTTAACAAGCAAATGTTGTTTGGAAATTTTCATCCCAATCGGATAATAAATGCGACCTGCAGTTTGTTCACAAGAATAGTAGGAACAATGTCCTCAAGGCACTAGAGGTGCGGACAAAGAGACATTGTTGACCTCTTATAACCCGAAAGATCAGTCTGTGGTCAGCTATGCGACCCCATGGGGATTGCGAATACAAGTGCTACACAGTGGAAGAATATACAAACCTACCAAAATGCTGCCCTGAGAACTGCAAAAAGGTGGTTCCTAATGTCACCAGTGGAGTTGAAGGTTCTTCCCGTACGTCAGCATAATCATATGCTTTCATTAGAGTACCTTTTCGGATGTAACCGTCGGAATCATCCAAGCCATCATATGGCGGATAAGACTCCCCCACATAGGCGTGTCAAGAAGGACCTAAACGATCGAGAGAGAGAGAGAGAGAGAGAGAGAGAGAGAGAGAGAGATGTCCAACGCTATAAGAGAGAACCTTCAGATCGAGAAGCCTATCAGCCAAGTCTGAGTGGCATTCATACCGATGCAGTCTCTGATATTATTAATACCTACAGTATGAACGTTGTCCATGGAGTCCACATCCCATCCATTGCAGCAGCAGAACGTCGGCTGCCTTGATAAACTAGGGTAATTTAGGCCCAACTACGTTCAGGATGGCGCAGTCGTCTCTATTCCTTTGAAGATGTGCAAAACGTCTGGCCAGAGTGCGATACGCTTATGCCCTCAAAATGCCCTGCCAAATACAACCTGTAAAGGTAGCCGAATTCTTGAGCAAGAAACGAATACATCTTATACTGCTATTTACAATTTACAAAGGAAAATATTCCTTTCTAAGAAGAGAGGTCTACGGGGAATGTCTGCAAAAAACTGATTTAAAGAAGGGAAGCTGCTACCCTCGTTGCTGTTGATCCACTGTGATCGATTTGCAATTAGATTAGAATTTGTAGTACCCATAGGAGTAAAGGAGGCAAGTTGAAAGATGGGAACGTATATTTTTAAAAAAAGTAGTGAAAGTCTCAACGAGAATTTTATTTCGGCATAAACACATTTCTACTAGTTGCTACTTTTCAAAAGCTACCTGAGACGACTTGAAAGCAGAACCCTTACTGTTGGATCTATGACTGAAATTAATGGTATGGATAGGACCCAATATTCACCAAACTAAGCTAAATACCATTTTCCATCTCCATGTCCTAATCTACTCCCCACACATGCGGCATTAATCAGGATTGTGGGTATACTATCCGCAATTTTAGATTTATATTTAGCAAAAGCTATTATCACTCCTACCACAACTCCGACCTCGGTCTTGCCAATTAAAGGAAGGAAGAAAGAAATCCTTCTTAAATTTGACTACGATATGACCAATCACTTTTTCCTTAGTAAATTTATGTCCGATTTGTTCTGATTTATCGGCAATACCATTCCTGGTCGCAGTAGATCGAGCACAGATCTTCAACTGGATACACTGTAATCTAGATTATTAAAATCCTAACATTAAATCCAGTCCGAGGTCTTTATACGTTTACGGACCTGATATTGAAAGTCCATTAATTCGTAGTTGGAAAATACTAGGATATTCAACAGCCGCCTCACACCGCATATCCTTTCCCTTCATACAAAACATTTATGTCAGTCCACTGCGTCTTCAACACTGTCTACTTAGATGGACTTTAAACACTACCGTTCAGTATCAGGAACTTAAGAGAATTTTAAATAGGTATAAGTACTTATAAACAAGTAAAAAAGCAGCTAAGTTCTCCAGGACCGAACATTTAATTTGAAAGAAAATTGAACATTTTCAAAAAAAATATTCGAAAACTATTACTTAAATGAAAACTGTTATATAGGTGCTATACGAAGACGTGGACCTGCATATGAATTTTTTTTTCATACGCTGTAGTACACATTACGAACTTCAAATACAAAATTTGAAACAATTCCTATTAATAATGTCGCTAAAATCATCAAAATACCGAATATCGGGAGGTACCGTTATGTGGGGGCTATACGAAAATGTTAACCTGCATAAGAAATCGTTTGATCATAGGCTATAGTACCCATTACGAACTTTAAATACAAAATTTAAAACAATTCCGGTGAATAATGTCGTAAAAATTGTGAAAATACCGAATATCGGGAGGTTCCGTTATATGGGGGATGAATATATGAAGATGTGGACCTGCATACGAAAATGTTTGCCATAGGTTGTAGTAACATTAAGATCTTCCAAAACGAATTTTTGAAAGGAAAAAATAATCAAAATACCGAATATCAGGAGGTACCGTTATATGGGGGCTATACGAAAACGTGGACCGACATGGCCCATTTACGAACTTAACCTGCCTACGGGGGAAATATGCATGTATGCAAAATTTTAGCATTCTATCTCAATTCGTTCAAAGGATAGCGGTATTACAACACACAGCAAAACAAACGGCCATCGCTAAGTCGTCTTAGAATTTTACGCCGATCCAGAATATACATACTTTGTAGGGTCTATCATGAATATTTCGAGGAGTTACAAACGGAATGACAAAGCTAATATACCCTCCATAGAATGGTGGAGGGTATAATAAAAGGTTTGGCCAATCTAAGAAAGGCTTAAAGGACATCATCAATGACATCGAGGAAACTACTTCAAAACAAAATCGAGGATCGAAAACTGACGAAATCGAAAAACTTTTCCATGAATAGAGCGCATGGATTGGGACACAAATTCAGTCAAAGGCAAGTACATTTCTATGGACAGAAAAAGTGTTTTGATAAGTGGCATTTAAGAATCTGAAAATTGAATATATCAAGTTTTAATTCCTCTCTTGCCATCGTTGCAGAATAGATGTTTTTCAGCTTCAAATTTTCTATGACACGTAACGACTTTCCCATGACACAACAATAAAACAAAGAGGTGGCCTTTGTACCTCTTTATTGGTCGGGAACTCTTGCCATTGAAAATATATGTATTATTCATTATAGCCCAAAAAGGGAAACAGAAAGAAAACAAATTTCGTCGTTGGGGCCTTTCCTCTCTCCAAGCAAAACAGTTTCTTTTTAGGTGAAAATATGCACGTTCGATTCCCATCTTAGCAAAGGCATTTTGCATAAAAATATTGAATAACAACAACATGGAGCAATGAAAAAAGAGCAACAGAAACGATGTGTGTATCAAAGATATCACTACGTTCGCAAGAATCGGCAAATGTAATGCCAAATACGATACGATAGACAGCAGCTGGCTGATACGTTTCCAATTACAGATACGAGCTGGTGGTGGTCGTAATCAAATAAATGTCGATCCAGTATTTCCATTGACGTTAAAAAAAGACTTAATTAAAAATATAAAAGCAAACACGAAAAATATTCCATCAATTTTTAACTTACCAATACTTCGCCATAACTTCAATCTGTTTTTGCTTATGGCCGTTTTCTACAAAGATCCTAGGTTGGAAATTTTTATATCCATATAAAAAAGAAGAAAACACTTTTTGTTGCTGCCTTTCACAGTGTGGTGCTATAAAAAATGTATACAAAATCTTGCTCCTACTAGATTTTTTTCTTTTTGGTTTCTTAAAATTAAAGAGAAAGGAAAAAACAATTTGATTATATTATAAATAAAATGTTTGATTGATTTTTTACGTCTTCTTCTTCTTTCACTTTTTGGCAATGTACATTTATTTTATTTCATTCATTTTTCACCCTTTAAACACGCACGCACTTAATTTTCTCCTCTTCAACAAATTGATTTCTTTCTTTTTCTCATTAAAAAATTTACAATTTCGTTGCGATGTTATGTTGTTGTGGCTTCTTTATTTATCATTTAATTCAATTAGATTTGGTTGCACATATATATTTTTCTTATTTTTTTATTTTTTCCACAAGCATCCACAAATTCAGGAGCGAACGAGCGAGCGAGCCGATGTGATGGGCGAATGAGAAACAATAGAGAAAAAGCAAAAGCACGACAGACGAGAGTTGTCACAGTGCAGCAGCAGCAAAAGCAATGTAAACAGATGTTTGCTGAATGCAATAATCGCTGTCAAAATGTTTTCAAAGTTTAATGAGACATATATTTTACAACAACACTGAATGATATGTTTTTGTTTACATTTTTAATTAGTTAATTACTTTTACAAATAAAAAAACTATAGACAAACAATTGAATCAGGTTATGTGGCGTTTCCACTGCACTTGATTCGCTCTCTATTCGTTGTTTGACCCTTAACTATGAAAAAACTACCTAATTCTTCACACAAAATTTCCTGAGCGAACACTCATATTTGTACGTTGTTCAATTCAAATCACTCTCAGAACAACGAAAAAATATGTCCCATCCCTAACAAATGAGAGCATTTATCGAAAAAATAAATTATGACATTTAAAATTAAAAATAGAAAAATTTAATGAAAATTTAAAAATTTTTGGGAAGACTGAAAATTATGTATGAAAACTACAATGTTGAATGGCGTATGTACATTCAAACGAAAGTAAATTTTGTTTTCTCTCTCATTCGAAGTACGCATTTGGTCCACGAGATGAAATTTCAACAGAAAACTGCAAACAAAAGAGGCAATATTTTCAAAATGTTTCTATCGGCAGAAAAAATGTTTGACAAGTGTCTCTCCAGCAGAAATTAAAAATGGAAAAACACAAAAATATGTTCAAAATGTCAACGTTTACACAAAAAGTTGAAAACTTGAATGAAAATTGTAAAATTAATGATATAATAAATCTTTGGGAGGAAAACAATAATTTCTTCTATTCATATTAGTGAGTATTTCATGTATTTTCGTATAAATTCCCATTAAAATCCACAAACAAATTTTTTGAAAAAGGAATTACTTTACTATAAATTACGAATCGTGCCGTATGAACGGGTTAATTCGTGTACCTAATTCTGAGAGCGAACAATGTTGTTCGGTTTCCAATGGAAACATGCTATTAATTCATTCCACTTTGACAGCTTAACGACAACTAGAAAAGGCAACAAATCGATAGCAATATCGCTGGTATCAATACGTTATTTTAGAAGAGAGTATCGATTGTTAGTTTTCCACCGTTAATATCGGACGAGATGCCAACAATGGGACCATGAAATTTAAAAATTTCAACAACAATTCAATTTTGTGGAATTTGACTGTTTTTTAGATATTTAAAAAGGTTTTTTAAATAAAATTTGTTTTGAAGTTATAAAGCGTGGTTTGTTAATAACACTAACTGGGGAAGCAGTGGTACGAATGTAAGAAGTGAGTCAGTATTCAATTTTATTCTGAACAATAATTTTAGAATTTTTCTGATCTACGGTAGTGTTAGGAGAAAGTCATTGACATCAATATGGAAGACTCTGCTATTAGCAATTGGAAAGTATTTAAAAAGTGCTCTTTTTAAGACGAAAAAAAAAGATTTTCTTTCAGATGGTGTTAGACACAAATCTGATAGAAATCCAAAGGGAACAGACTGTGGTAAATTCAAATCTCTTACGCCAAAATTAAAAAATGATCTTCGAGGTCTGCAGTCAACCAATGACATCGAGAGAGAAGTGAATCTGTTCTCAAATTTTCTTCTTTCAAGCTATTAGAAATCTTATCCAACCACCTACTCTGAGAGGAAATCCCAGCCGGGTTGTTGGACTAAAGACCCTGCTACTCTTTGGAAAACAGCGAGATTATATAGCAGATGCTTTGTTCCAGAATCTGCAAGAATATACTAAGCTTGCAATTGTTTTGTCTGAACAACAAACTTTCCTAAAACTTGATGGGCGATCAACACCTTTCATCCCTTCAAGTCTCCTGGTCCTAACGGTATTATACTAGCAATGTTTCAAATGCACCTAAATCGATATTGGCTATATTGCAGGATATTTTAAAGGCTTGTGCTTCGTATCCAGTCTTTGCAAAAGAAGTACCGATAACCTATATTCCCAAAGCTGGGAAACCTACTTACCTAAAGACTGCAGACCAATTAGCCTTCTTCCTTTCTAATGTAGAGCTTAGACTGGTTACTGGACCTGAAAATTCGTCCAAATTTAAATGTTAATATAATAAGTACACCGCTACATGCCTGTATCAAGAGACAGACCTACGCGAAGTTGTCTGATACATTGAGAAAACATGGAAAACTCGAATTTTACTTTGACAGCTTCCTCGATATAGAGGGGCTTTTAACAATGTGAAACTGAAGCCGATCCATTATGCTCTCAATGTATCTGGTATTTCCCCTTTCCGTATTGAATGGAATGTAAGAATGGTGAAAAAGCTGGATAATCCATACATGCTTGGTAGAGTTCCATCAGAAAAATTTGCCAGTAGTTCAGGCCGTCTTTCATGCTGCCTACCTTGACTTCTGGCGATTTACGTAATACTGTCTAAATATAATTAACAGGACTAATGACTATATATGTTGATAGTCAGACGGTTAGTTTTTATAAAAAAAAATCAATAGCAAATTAACAAAGAAAAATCATTAGAGTTGCCATATTCGCAGTTTCATGATCATGTCTCGAAACAAACATGATTTCCGTGGACTTGATCAGTATTATACAAATCCTCCAAAGATTTGGGCTTTCGACAATGGGAACCCATTGCAATATTACAATTTTCATGGGGTCCCAAATATAATTGTCCCTCAAGAAATGATAAAGTCAGTTTAAATTGATTTCTCATTTTCAGTTATTTATTTCTAATTTAAGAACTAAATACTTTGTTTTTAATTCATTGCGATAATAAAACTTAGTATTGGGTTTTATACATATTTAAGGTAGACTAAAATACTAAAAATCGAATATTCTGTTTGCCAAAATACGATACCATCTTAAAGTTGGTAATTGCTAATGTGCATGTGTTGAATAAGAAACTGAAATTTTTTCATATACATATTTCATGATCAACTACTAGACTATGTAAAACGAAAAATCAAAATAATTCATGGGAAGAAATCTATTGAGAACAAAAATTTACTGGCTTCTTAAATATTCGTAGACAATTTTTCTACGAACTTATCTAAGGCTTTAGAAAACGTCCACGACCATAACTGCTACCACTTATGGTATTAAAAGATGCATCACTAAGTAATAAACGACCGCGTCCAAAACTTGCCACAGAACTATAGTCATCAGTATCCGATGTCAAATCATCATTTGTATAGTTAATATCGAAATGAGATTTAGCTGGCTGACGTGGAATATTACGTGAACGTAATGTCCAAGGATTTAAATCGGCACAGTCTTCATACTCTGTATCTTCAAAGCTACTTTTAAGGGTGCGTGTTATATTCTTGGCATGACTTGATAAATTGTTTTTCCGAAGTCCACCTGCCAATGCAGGAAAATTCACAGTATACGTTTTACTTGCTTCAGATACCAAGGTTTTTTGGTCATCATCATCATAGTATAGCTTGGAACCAGCCACGGGTTTGGTAAAATTAGTTGCTGTCGTACCAATAGATATGAAGGATTCAGTGTCGGAATAGAAACTCGGTGCCGGAGTAACAATTTCGTTGACATTCGTATTGGCTGGACAGTGGAGTCCGGGCACAAGTGGTATAGCAATATCACTGCACATATAATCGGCAAACATATAACCCCAACGGGTTACATATGATTGGGTACAATATTTACAAGTATCAATTTCCTCGTGATACTGAAAGAAAAAAAATTTATGCAATTATAAAGGCATCATGTCCAAGTCGAAAATCCATAATATCCTACCTGACATCCAATACCACATTGATATTCAAAGAAGTCCCGATCAAAATATGCATCAGTAATGTAAAAAGTTTTTGGTTTTTCCAGCTCACCAGCCTCGCAGGTGGCTTCCTTCATGACAAACAATAAATGTTGTATGGAATACACATTAAGTCCAACATTATTCGCCTCAACATCAGCTTTTAAGAATTGTAACACAGACTCGACAATATGTATGCTATCACGATGAGTATAGACTGGTGGATAATTCCCGCTCTTGCTATCACGCACAAAATTTAAAATATCATTATAAATCATGCCTAATTTTGTTTCGCCCAATGCATTTGGGGGGAGTGGCAATTTATGCGTTGTATCCGACAAGTGTTGAGCTTCATATTGATGCCCGTAAATATTTACACCAGGATTAATGAGCGTTTGATAGACTTGCTGTACACCGCCCTTTAGGGAAAATTTAGCCACTGCTATTTCCGCTGGTACATATATACCATCTTTTAGTGTCTTTGTAAAATAATTCACCATTATAAAATTATAAGTTTGTGTTTCCAATTGTCCATGGCTGGCACTCTTTCGCACCGTTTCTTCAATATCACGTTTCATCTGACGCTCTTTCTTCTCTTGATCGGCACGTTCTTTTTCCACCAGGGAAATAGGTACACCAGTACAAGTTAATTTTTCAGGGCCAATACTGCCGTCGAATGAAGTTTCCTTCTTGGCTTTTTCGTTATATGGACTCCGTTCTGCGGCGTCCATTGTCTTCCATACTTTTCCCGCTTCTTCGGTAGCTTCAGAAATCGACAGCCCCTTGCCATATTTATTTCGCCACTCGATTGTGAAATACATAAAACCACTGGGCTTTTGTTTCTTTGGTGCCATTTTTCGGTGGAAAATTAATTAAACAAGTAAATTTCTGACGCGAAATGAAATTGCAATGCTCTGCTTTAAATAACTGTTATTTGCATATCACACAATGTGAACCCAAGTTTTTTTTGTAATCTAATGACAATGCCGATAAGTTTACTTGCCGCCGATGTAATGTTTAACTATTTCTTGAGCTATATAGCCATGCAGCTAATTTAGACTTTATGCTAGGAACACAATTGGAACGAACGACGAATTTCGCCCTACGCGGCGACAAAATGAACCGCGTAAATTCGTCGTATGGAACACAATACCGACGAAATTATAAAACAGCTGATGAAGTTGTTTATTTTTTGCTCATTTGTTGACTACAATGAATCAGAGAATTGTAAAGTTTATTAAAATTGTTAAAATAATTAACATAATGTATATTATAGTAAAAGCTTATCTGCTTCTTCATGCTAGGAACATAATTGGAGCGAACGACGAATTTTTCGCTGCGTATGTTCGTCGTCAAAAATATATGTGTATATGGAAATGCACACAATCACGGCGCCGGCGAAAATTTCGTCGGACGCCGCGAACTCAATTAGCTTCATTTCTATTTCATACGCCGGCGAACGGCGAACAAAACAGTACAAGGTGGCCATACTTGTACGAATTTTATGTGCTTTAGTAAATAAAGTTACTTTTTACTTTAAAATTTGTTATGGTCACTCTAATATCTGTTACTCATATAAAAAAACATAATTAATTTGTTTATTTATTTGTGTTTTCACACAAGCAGATAAGCTTTTACTATAATATACATTATGTTAATTATTTTAACAATTTTAATAAACTTTACAATTCTCTGATTCATTGTAGTCAACAAATGAGCAAAAAGTAAACAACTTCATCAGCTGTTTTATAATTTCGTCGGTATTGTGTTCCATACGACGAATTTACGCGGCTCATTTTGTCGCCGCGTAGGGCGAAATTCGTCGTTCCCTCCAATTGTGTTCCTAGCATCACTCAGGCGCAAATACACAAATAAATAAACAAATTAATTATGTTTTTTTTTATACGAGTAACTTATAGTAGAATGACCATAACAAATTTTAAAGTAAAAAGTAACTTTATTTACTAAAACACATAAAAATCGTACAAGTATGGCCACCTTGTACTGTTTTGTTCGCTGTTCACCGGCGTATTTTTTTTTTTTTGAAAACTTTTACTTTTTAGGGTAATTTGGGCCTACTGATGGGATGATGGGTATTTTTAGAAGGATTTTTTTTAATTATTGACAGTTTACTCTTGCTACGTAAACAAAAATTGTTAAAAATTGTACCCCTTTCATACATAAGTATTTTTTTTTGAAAATTTGTGTTTATACTGTTCGAAAAATCGAACAGAGGCGCGAAAGGGGTTAATTGCTTTCACCACTTTTGTGTTTGTATTTATTGTTTGAAAAAATCGACACAGCTGATGAGACAATGAACTGTCAAACAAATTTTGAAATTGTAAATTATGAATGAAAAATTGCTCGAATTTGAAAAAATTGTTAAAAAGCTCATATTATAATATGATTGGCATCGTATGAGAAAACATATAAAAATCTACTTATATTAGAAAAAAAAAAAAATTAAAATTTTTATATATCAATGTTCTAAAGCGTTGATGCATCTTCCTGTATTCGTCTATCATGGAAGAAATTAAGTAGTTTTGCCATTGAGCTGAATTATTAGAGACTATGGCATGCGAGATATTACCTATGGTACAAGCTGCTTATGTACCCATACCTTTAAGATACAGGTACATAAATATCTTTTTTTTTACTGACTTTAAGGTGAGAATACATAATACGCTTGCTTTGCACTTCCAAACGTGCATCGAAAGAAATTGCAAAAATAGTAGATTCTTGCAGTTTCTGGGACAGGGCAGTTTACAGCTTTTAGGATGAATAACATATTGGAAAATACATACTTAGAATACAGAATAACATATTGGGTATTCGATATTGTAAAAAATCCGAAATTTAATAACGAAATATCATAAATATATGATGTTGTCAACACAACTTATTATTGAACCAGAAACTGCAAGAATCTACTAGTTTTGCAACTGTTTCCGTTTACGTAAAGGCAAAATCGATAATCGTAGTAAAAACGTTTAATTTTTGGCAGTACTGGAACATATCAACTATATAAAGGTTTTTTAACATTGATTTATTGGAATCGCCCTAGAGAATTTTCTTATGCGGCAGCATAATCTGCTCGATTATGGGGGTATTTGTCCGGTGGGTATTTTTATCCCCAATGCAATTTTTATGGCATGGACCTTAAGGTGAGAATATATAAAACGCTTTATTGACTTGCTTAAGTCATTCTTGTAATTCTCATGGTAGAACTAATAAGGTAAAATCATGAATTCATATGTTTTCAATTTTTTTCAAAATTATACCTTTGATAACATCTCATTTCGAAAATGTTTATTCATAAATCCACAAATCAGAGATGGAGAGCTGTTTTCTATGCAGTTAAATTTGACAAAGTAAATTAGAGAAAACACAGGGCAGGGAATGCTTATTTGAAATGAGATAACCTTGATTTCATTGTATCATTGTAGTTCTGGAAAAGAGCAAAAAAGTATTTAAGGCTAGAGAGAAACAGATCATGACAGAGGTATGTTAATACATGGCAAAATTACAGAAGGTAGAACAAAGTTACCTCCTAAATACAATTGTTTTCTTTTTGTGCCCCCATTCTGTCAAAACGTGGAAAAGGAAAATAATTTGAAATTATTTCAAATTTATTTAATATTTTCCACGTAAAGAGGCAACAAAGTTTACAAATTTGGGATTAGACCATATTGTTCCTCTATCTTGGATTCAATTTTGTGAAAAAAAAAAAGGAAAATCCATTTTATGCATCTCCGCCTCAAATATCCTATAATTGCCCTAATGTACGGTGTGCAAGTGAATTGATAACAGAGTTTGACGTGTCGCTGTAATCCTTAGTGCTATTCTACCAAACCTTACGATACGTTACCACTAACCCAATTCCTCTCTTCTCTACACGCGTTTTTTTTCTCATTGTTGTTTTTTATTGGCCCCCGAAAAAAATAAATATTGTAGAAAAAAGAGCACGTTTTTAAGTGGTAAAATTAATACAGTTTTTTAAAACTGTTTCGTCGTTCCATTTGCAATTCCAAAATTGCAGAACAAAATTAAGACTCCGCGCACGCAATGGGAGTACCAGCATTCTTCAGATGGCTTAGCCGTAAATACCCCAGTGTTATCATAGAATGCGTGGAAACTAAAGAAGTTGACCCAGAAACTGGGAAAAATATTTATCCCGATGCCACACAGCCGAATCCGAATGGCATCGAGTTCGACAACTTGTACTTGGACATGAATGGTATCATTCATCCATGTACACATCCGGAGGACAAACCGGCGCCTAAAAATGAAGACGAAATGATGATCGCCATATTCGATTGTATTGATCGCTTGATGAATATTGTGAGACCGCGCAAGGTTCTGTATATGGCCATTGATGGCGTGGCACCCAGGGCGAAAATGAACCAACAGCGTTCAAGACGTTTTAGGGCTGCCAAGGAATCCGTGGAAAAGCGTATGGAAATGGAGAGGATACGTAGCGAGTTGTTGGCCAAGGGATGTGTACTGCCACCCGAAAAGGAAAAGGGCGAACATTTCGATTCCAATTGTATCACACCGGGTACCCCGTTTATGGAAAGACTGTCACAGTGCCTGCACTATTATGTGCACGATCGTTTGAACAATAACCCCGCCTGGAAGGACATCAAGGTCATCTTGTCCGATGCCAATGTGCCGGGAGAGGGAGAACACAAAATTATGGATTATATTAGGAAACAAAGGGCCCAGCCGGACCATGACCCCAATACACAACATGTCCTGTGTGGCGCTGATGCCGATTTGATTATGTTGGGCTTGGCTACGCACGAGCCAAACTTTACCATCATAAGAGAGGAGTTCTTACCCAATAAACCCAAGCCGTGTGACATGTGTGGCCAGTTTGGCCATGAAATGGACAAATGTCAGGGCTTGAATGCTGCTGGTGTTAATGATGTAACAAACTTTAAGCCAGATGTGGCCGTTGGATCGGAAGTTAGGTTTATATTTGTTCGCCTGAGTGTTCTGCGAGAGTATCTGAAGAAGACGTTGGAAATGCCCAACCTGCCATTTAAATACGAATTCGAAAGAGCCCTCGACGATTGGGTATTCATGTGCTTCTTTGTGGGCAATGATTTCCTGCCGCATTTACCCTCTCTGGAGATACGAGAAGGTGCCGTCGATCGCTTGGTTGAGCTGTACAAGAAATGTGTTTATCGTACAAATGGCTATTTGACGAACTCTGGTGAAGTAGACCTGGATAGAGTGCAATTGATTCTAACGGATTTGGGTAACGTGGAAGATCACATCTTCAAGGAACGACAACGGCGTGAAGTGCAATTTAAACAACGTGAGAAGGCAAAACGTCGCAACGAGGCCAACGCTTACAATGCTGCCGTAATGGAACAATCGGGTTCGTTTAAATTGAATGCCTTGGGGAAAGGCAATGCAAATCCGTTGCCCATAATCGACAATTACAAACAGAATGCGGCAAATTTGAGAAATGCTGGTGGAGCTGGTCAAAAACGAACTGCTGCTCAGGCTGGTTTGGATGAAGACGAAGAGGAGGAAGAGGTGAATGATGAGGTTCGCTTGTGGGAGAATGGCTTCAAGGATCGTTATTATGAATCTAAATTCGATGTGGGCCAGGAGAATCTCGATTTTCGTTATTCCGTGGCCCTGCAGTATGTGCGAGGCCTTTGCTGGGTACTCAAATACTACTATCAAGGCTGTGCCTCATGGGATTGGTATTTCCCATATCATTATGCACCATTTGCCTCGGATTTTGTTAACATATCGGGATTGTCAACACATTTCCCCAAGGGCTCGAAGCCGTTTAATCCCCTGGAACAGCTGATGGGTGTGTTTCCGGCGGCAAGTAGCAGTCATGTGCCGAAACCATGGGCCACTCTCATGCATGATCCCCAGTCGGAAATTATTGATTTCTATCCGGAGGACTTTAAAATTGATTTGAATGGCAAGAAATATGCCTGGCAAGGTGTGGCCCTACTGCCGTTTGTCGATGAAAATCGCCTTTTTAAGGCCTTGAAACCCTACTATGGCATGCTGACTGAGGCCGAAATCAAACGTAACAAGCGTGGCGATTGCCGCCTGTACATCAGTCAGGGTAATGCATTCTTCAAAACATTTACCAAATACTATTCACAAAACAAATTTGCAACGACACCCGAAATTGAGGTACTAATGGATGGTATGTCTGGTACTGTGCTGGAAGCCGATGATAATGTGCCCATAAATGGTACACTGCCCTCGCCGATAATGGGTCTGTATGATATTACGGAAAATCAGGTGGTAACCGTACGCTTTAGGGATCCACAGTATGAGGAAGATTTTATATTCCCAGCGAAGCGTTTGAAGAACGCCATTGATCCACCCACGGTGTTGGCGCCCGAAGGTCGTGATTCGAATTATAAGCCACGTATTGGTTTCAATCATGACATGCCACAGGCCTATATCACTCAAGGTGGACATCGCCACTTGAATAATGCCATGGGTCAGGGGGGCAAATTTCAGAATCAGTATAATACCCAGGGTTTCAATTATAATAATATGAATAATAATTACAATAATAATAGAAATTCCGGCTATGGTAGAGGAGGAGGAGGTGGAGGCGGCCATGCCGGTGGTGGTGGAGGAGGACGTGGAGGTGAGTAATAATTGAAATTTATTTTGTCTCTTATTTAGTTTATTTATCTCCTTTGTTTTATTATTCAAGGTCCTGTATATGGTGGAGCTGGCCGCGGTGGCGGAGCTGGCGGCGTGCAACGTTTCCATCCATACAGTCAACAGGGTGGACGTGGGCAACAGCAACAAGGACGTTTCCAACAGAATCAGCAACAGCAGGGAGGCTACGCTTCATCGTCGTTCCAAAACAGAAACTACCAGCAACAGAATCGCCGGCCAAACAACAATAATAACAATAACAACTTCCCACAAAATAATCAATTCAATAAGAATGCTGGAGGCAATAATTGGGCGAGAGGTGGTGGCGGCGGCGGTGGTGGAGGTGGACGTAGATACAATTAAATGTATTTGTTCAATTTTTTTGTTTGCCGACGATTTAAAAAAAAAAATCACATGTTTTTATAGTTCCCACCAGAAATCCGAAATGAAATGGTACATCCTTCCTGCGCACACCATTCAAACAACACAGATTAGAAAAATTAATATTGGATACTTAATTATGTTTCTTTTTGTACTTTTCCAAAAGTATTTAAAAATTGCAAAATTGACTAGACGATGATTTCAAAAAATTTTTATTTTCAAAATACGATTTTGTTATCGTATCACAATGTATGTATATGTATGGAACATATTGCAGATACATTCTACATACCTATATCTATTAAGTAAGATCATAGCATAAGATTATAGTTTGTAATTTAAAAGAAGAGAAAAAAAAACCAAACAAATGTATGAAACAACACCAGTACACAAAATTGACTATCGCGAGTAAGGATAGAATGTTTTTTTGGTAACAATTGTTTTTTTTTTAATAAAACACAATTTTGAATTACAAATTTTAAAAATATTGGGATTTTATTAATGTAAATATTTAAGGAAATCCAAAGTTTAAGTAGCGATCGCCGCCTTAATTAGAATCATAATTCTTCTGTGTTAATATTGAAGGACATGTAGGAAGACAAGATAGATCGTCCAGACTCTCTCCATACAAATTTACGATTTCTGGAAAAGCTTATCTGTTGGATCCATGATGGAAATGTATGGAAAAGATTAGAACTCAACCAAAATTAACGTTTACCAATTGTTTCCAAGATAGAGCTGCAATCATATTGGAATGATTGTCTACAAAAGCCGTGACCACCCTATCTGTTGAACCTATCCCGTCATCACCTATAGAAATGGTAAAGTTTTAATATTGCACAGATTTCGTCGAAAATCGTTTAGATCACTACCATATACCATACCGACCATACTTTTTACCGCATGGACTGTGGAGATGAGAATACAGCTGAAAATGTAGGTCGAGGGCCACATAATTCCTACCACAAACTAACCCAAAATCTGTGGGTCTGTATTCGAGAGCATATTCAAATCGTCGGCGCAAAACCCGCGGCTTTCTGCAGTACAATGAAAAGAAAGACTAAGGTCCTCAAGGCGCTAGCCGGCAGCACTTGGGCGAGGATAAGCAAACCAGTGTGGTCTGCCAAAACGAGAGCAACGCAATGGAAAAGTATTCAGACCTGCCAGAATGCCGACCTGAGAACTGCAACAGGGTGCCTCCTCATGACTCCAGTGGGGTGACGAAGGTCCTTACCATACGTCAGCTTCCGTTGCAGTACCTGCTTTGGTGTTACCGTGTGAGTCATCCCAACCACTATATGATGGACAGAACTCCCATGCCCAGGCGTGTCGGAGAGAGGAAGGGGAGAGAGGTCCAATGATAGAAGAGAGAGCCTCTAGATCTGCAAGCCTATCAGGCAGGCAGCTGAAGAACGTCGGCTGCCTAGACAAACCAGTGCAGTTTGGCGCACTACGTTCAGAATGGTGCAGTCGTCTCAATTCGTGCGAATTGATTAAGATGTGCGGAATGTCTGGCCAGCGTGCAATGGAGTTACGCACCATACGCTGCATCTGTTTTATAGTCTCGCCAAACCTTCCCAACTCATTTCAGAGGATTTATGGCTACAACATATAAGGGTAGCAGACTTCCTAAACCTGAGCATTGTGGCAGAATTAGACTAAGAGTCTATAAACAACTAACACATGTATCACTGATACAACAACAACAACAACAACTGTTTGCTTTGTGGGAAGCGAAAGTGATCTTTTGCAACCCAAACCTTCGAATTCTTACAAAAGCCTGTGTTAACTTTGAGATCCATCCAGCTGTACCCGCCAAAATCCAATACTAAGACCAGCATCCCGCTTCTCAGCCCGCTTCAGGATCTCCGTTAACCCCATTATAGAATGTGGAATCCCCATCGAAGCCACCATTTTGCATGCGATCTACGAGACAGTCACTGCGGCGACTTTTCTGTATTAAAGGCCATTAACTGCGGTATTTAAGAAGTCTACAGATTCCTTATTGTTGTAGGTAATGACCCTGGCTCTTCTGTATATTGCTGCTCGTCCTCATCCAATAGATATAGGTACGGCATCTTCTCGTCGATCAGCAGATATTGAACTTCGCTGATGTACACATTAGGATCAGCCTGATCTGTGACCGCTACTTTTAAGTACTTCGGTACTATCCGTTTAAGAATGCGCAAGACGGTTTAGTTTGAAAATGCGCAGCTACACGGGATCGGCAACTGCCTTTGGTTCATTGTGTTCATGCTAGGAAAATATTGTTGGTTATAGGAGAGAGATAGAAAAAGAGTAGGAAGGGTTTATAGCAGTAAGCAGGACGGACTGTTTAGCCAAGGAAAGTTGTGATGGGCTCCATGTTTGAAAAGCCTACGTCTCTTGTTGGATAACATGAGATATCTGCTTAGTAGATGTTTAATCGTCTCTATCTCTCATCATATTCACGTCGTGTACAGTTGTCCGGAACACTGCAAGCCCATTTTGAGGTCAGATATGCCAGGAGTTGATATCAGCTATGCCTGTAGTTAATATTAGATATGTAGTCAGATATCAGATATGCCTACCGTGATTCTTCGATCCGACCTACTGAATTCAGACAAGATACGCTTACGTCCGCTTGTTGTATCTTTCGTTGAGTTGATGAATTAACTGATGGGCTCGGCTGAGCCGATTTCAAGGTTTGATTTATTCTTCTTCCAACTTAACCTCAGCCTTGTTGTCCTTGCTTTGGAGGGCGGTACCTCCGGTTTTGCCACTTCAGAAGCCTTTTTTGTTCCAGTTTCTATTCCAATATAAGATAGATTGCTAATAGCCTGACTTCAAGCGTTAAGGACATTGATGGACATTTGATCGCATAACACCTCTGCATTAAGAAGGTCCTTGTTCAGATCCAAGAACCTAAATTACTTGGCAGTTTGGTAAACAAATATTTCCCCTCGTTAATCAAAATATCATTGGTATTCACCTATTTCCTTCGAGATCCTCGCCAGTCTAATGGCTAACTTTTGTGTAGGCCTATTAAATTCGGAAAAATATTGGGATGTGTGTAATTTGAAAAGAAACGGGTGCTTATTTTGGATTTTATGATCGTTTTGTTTATTCAAAACGTTGACCCTTTGTGGTGGAGATACCAGAAGGAATGATCCGATTTCTACTATCTTTATAACAGATCTTGCGTTTATGGAAATATTGAGAATGGAATCGGATGTTAATTTCGTGTTTTATGAGCTTCATGATTATTAAACATTTTGACCCTTTGTTGGGGAGGTACTAGAAGGAGTAGACCGATATATTCTATCTTCACACCAGACCTTGGTTTATTAAAAATATAGTGATGTGTGTAATTCTGACAACCTGAAAATCTGAATCTTGCATTACATTTTATAAAAGTTATAAGTATTCAAAATTTTGACCCTTTGTGGGGGAGGTACTTTTCTATTTTTCACCTGACCTAGCACTAATGCAAGTATTATGATTCGTAGGAGTAGGAGCAAAATCGGATCATCCTTTCTTTTTCTGTGCAGAAAAATTATTTTCTTTAAAAAATGTTGACATTTTGTGGGGGAGATACGTTCTAAGTTTGACAATTATATTACGATATACCAAGTTTGGATCAAATCGGACACTTCCTTCGAGAGTCGAGACGGATGGACGAATCGGCTCCAAATGTCTTGAAACGGATTTGGTCCAAAGAGACCTAGGGTCTAAAACCGTTATTTCGATGAGGCATGTTTTGGCCGTATCAAATGATATATACCCTCTCTAGCCATATAGCTGAGGGTATAAAAAGTCCCTCATGTAACGGCCTCATCTGATTTTCAGTATTCTTAATATTTCGGAGAGCCGTTCGAGTTTTCAATAGGTCTAGTCTAATGCAGCGTAGAAGGCCCTATTTTTAGTGTTTTTATATTTAATTGTTTTTATACTAAGTCAATATCCTTTTCTTGGAATAAATAAAATGTCGTTTTCGGTATCGGAGTCTGATTGAAAATTGATTGTAATCCGGAAAAAAAAAATTGTGGCGCCTCGAAAATAACACACTGACCATCCTACAGAATCTGTGTTTATGTTGCCTCCAAAATTCTTCAAAACCACGTTGGTAAAAAATAAAATCCTTCACATTTAATCCCCCAACCAAATAATAATTCGAGAAATAAAAACAAATTAAATACTTTTAAATTATTGTTTGTTTTTCTGGTATTTACTGGAAACACTGGGAACTTTATTGTGACAAAACCAAAAAAAAATTAATGTATACTTATTTCAGTTTACCATTACACAAAGCTTGGCTTTTTGACAACAAAAAAGGCATAAACTTATTGATTTTGTTTTCTTTACTATAAACTTGCATAGAGATTCAGATACAATTTGGTTATTATTATTCCATTAAAAAAAACAAACACATATTCAAATATTAATTTCGTTAGCAAATGCCCTTGTAGATGTAAAGGTATTTTTTGTCCAATTTTAGAAAAAAGGGGAATAGAAAAAGAAGTTGCTAAGATAGTAACACATTTTAAGAAGTTATTTGTTTTTCTTTCTTTTTTTTTCAAATACATACATATTTTTTGTTTTTTTTTTTTCGTTAGATTTCTTTTGATTTGCAGATAAAGTATTCTCTTTTTTTTGTTGTCTATATTATATAATAGTAATTATTGCATTTTAAATGGCTTAAAAAATATACACATTTATATTCATTTCTATAAGTTATTTGTTTTTAAAAATAAAAAAAATTCTACTAGTTTTAACTTAAAGATTATTCTGTTGTTGTTATTCTTCACATCTGTCCATTTTTCGTTTTTGTTATTGTAGTTGTTTATCATAAAACTTACAGGCTAATCAATGAGTGGCTCTGTTTATGTGTATATATGCATAGTATGTATGTATGTGTGTATGTGGCTATATGTATGCGTTTACTACTAAAAATAACTTAAAATATCCTAACATTAAAATACTATTTACATTTTGTGGTCTGATCCAGCAGCTTCTTCCACAGATCGAATTGCTCATTGGCCTTAATCATATGCACGGATATTGATTTGCGAATATTGCAGGGATTAAAGGCAATGCGCCGATTAAGGAATTCATTGACATGCACCCGCTTGATGCCCAGCTGTTGGGCCACAATGCCCGTCGTAAAGACATCCTCCAGCTTCAGATAGACCTGATGCAGTGATCTAACATACAGCTCATGCACAATATCACTTGTCAGCACATAGGCCGGGCCGGTGGTAAAGGGCGGAAACACAGCGGCATTAAATTGCCCCGTCGATATATAATATTTGGATTTCTTGTTTCGTATGGGTTTCCATTTCTTGGCCAAACGTCCGTAGATGACACGTTTGTCCTTCGCATGGGCATCGAGGAATTGCAACAGCTTTGGCACATTTATGAACATATCATCATCGGTTTTCAGTATATACTTGGCCTTGGGGCAATGATTGTCCACCCATTCCAGGGATGATAATGTTTTCAATGTCAAATTGTTGTAGGAATCAATAAAGTGACCACGTATCAGATCACCATAAATCATATTCTCTTGGGTCAGGGCCTCGTTGATGGTGGCATTGGTGGTACGACCCAGTATAAAAGCGGTGGAAACATCACGACGTGTACCGAAATGACCCCAGGTCTGTCGTATGGCCAGTCGTGCCTCGGTGTGAGTTTGTGCTGATGTTATGAGTATTAAAAGTTTCAATTTGTCACCCTTGTTGGGACAAATTTGCTCAATATCGATCTCCTCGTTCATATGGCCGGGTTCGTAAATTTGTTGCGTGGGTATTCCCTGTGTTGGATCGGCAGATTGTACCTTTGTTGCTGCCTTTTTGGTGGTTGCTGTCGTTTTAGCTGATGATGGTGCAGCAGCTGCTCCCGCTGCAGATGCCGATGAGATCGCCGCCGAGGCTACTTGTTTTACAGCCTCATTTTTGTTGTTATTTTTATTATCATCAGCAATTTTTTCACTATCTTTATTATTTATATTGCTGAGAATGTCTCCGGCACCTCCTTTAATGGTCATTATAACCGAGGGCTGTTGTGCCTCATCGTTGTCATCGAGTATTTCATTGTCATCATTGTTAGGATCCAGTGGTAGATAATACTTATCGGGGGCTGAAATGAATTGAAAAACAAAAAAAAAAGATATTAGACTTTGGAATCAAATGACTGGAAACGAATAAGTCGATGTATATTAAAAAGAATGGATTTTCGTCCTTTGAACTACTCCAACCGAGTTCCTAAATTGCGAATCTTCTAAAAAAGAGGACATGGTTTGGCTATCCAGTCAAGTATCAAATCAAGACCTTCCTATAATGATATTTTCACAAAAGATGTTTAAGGAGAATTTAAGCTTTAAACGCCGATTACCAGAGTTCCTGGATTGCCGCCCTTGATGTTACCGTACCAGGTGATCTTAGCTAACTGTCCCAACAACCCAGTTGAAGAACTTAGCATTTATATAGGAAGCTTTGCTGCCTGTCAAACAAAATTTAGACTGGAAATACATAAAGAGCATATTTGGCTGGCTTAATGCTAGGAACACAATTGGAGCGAACGACGAATTTCGCCCTACGCGGCGACAAAATGAGCCGCGAAAATTCGTCGTATGGAACACAATACCGACGAAATTATAAAACAGCTGATGAAGTTGTTTACTTTTTGCTCATTTGTTGACTACAATGAATTATACAAGAACACATAATTCTTTACGTTCTCTATTATAATTTCACTTATGTCCATCTTCTCTATTATAAATTCACTGATATCCATCTTCACTCAGGCGCAAGTACACAAATAAATAAACAAATTAATTATGTTTTTTTTATACGAGTAACAGATAGTAGAGTGACCATAACAAATTTTAAAGTAAAAAGTAACTTTATTTACTAAAACACATAAAATTCGTACAAGTATGGCCACCTTGTACTGTTTTGTTCGCCGGTCGCCGGCGTATGAAATAGAAATAAAGCTAATTGAGTTCGCGGCGACCGACGAAATTTTCGCCGGTGCCGTGATTGTGTGCACTTCCATATACACATATGTGTTTTATTTTTGACGACGAACATACGCCGCGAAAAAATTCGTCGTTCGCTCCAATTGTGTTCCTAGCATAAGTCATCGGCTGACTTCTTCGGAAATGAACAAAGGAGCCTAGGGCCAAAATCGAACTAGGTCAACCTAAACCAATCATAAATAATTAAGGCAAAAAATTGCTAGTGCGGCAACGCTAATGGATATTTTTCGTACCTTGTGTACACTATATGTTGGGCAAATTTAAAAGGATTTTGTATTGAATTAAAATGACGTTTTTTTTAAATCAAATTATTTCAACCATTAGGTTTCGAATATATGTGCTGAATCTTGATAAGTCTGTGGAGCAACATAAAACTTGAAAAATCTGATCCTGAACGAACAACTTCGCCAATGTGGCCAAGATAGGAAGATTAAGTGTGAAGAGGAAAACCAAACTCTCGAGTTGATTTTCCGTTGATATACCCGTTCGTTGTGCATATTGCTGTGGTCGTTCTGATTCCAAAATTTGTGGCCAGTATTTCAGGTTCAAGTCGCTTCTTTACTTTTCGAACCATTTCTGCTGATGTTGCTGTTTTCTTGGAACAACTCTAGTTTAGTAAAAACTCTTAGATTTTTTCGAAATTTTTTCCAGAGGTAGGTATTTTTACCCTGATCCCGGGAAACTATTTTTTTCTTGGGGGACGGACCCGGGACCCCAGATTTTTGACCCAAAAGTCCGGTATCAAGACCCCGCCTGGACCCGGATCCACTTACCCGATATAGACAATATGGGTATCGATTGAAAGCTTATGGAAATACCTATCCAACAAGTGGTCACATGAAGGGGTAAGTTTTCATGGTTCGGAAGTTATAGTCAAATTATCGATTTTTTGGACCCGGATTTTTTATGAAACCCCCAAAAAGTCAAAAAAGGGCCCATTATGGGGGTCAACAAAATTGTTTCCAAATTATAGCTGACACTCTTACCTTTCCAAAATGCTACAATTTGTGCTAATACCTTTTTCGGTTCCAGAGATATGGGTCTTTTCATCCGCATAACCCGATTCTAACCAGTTCATTAAAATTATGTTTTTAATAAAAAAAAGTGTTTATTTCGCGTAGCAGTCGTCGGAATAACAAAAGTTTTCTAAATTTGGCACTTTTTGTAAATAGCCGGCCTTCGGCCGGGGCTTGAGATTTTCACCTATGGGTATGTCCGACCCCGGCTAACGCGAACAAAAGGTTCATAATTTCGGCACTCTTTGTAAATAGCCGGCCTTCGGCCGGGGCTTGAGATTTTCTCCTCTGGGTATGTCCTACACCGGCTAACGCGAACCAAAGTTTTCTAAATTGGATACCTTTTGTAAGTAGCCGGCCTTCGGCCGGGGCTTGAGATTTTCTCCTCTGGGTATGTCCTAAACCGGCTAACGCGAACCAAAGTTTTCTAATTTGACACTTTTTGTATATAGCCGGCCTTCGGCCGGAGCTTGAGATTTTCTCCTCTGGGTATGTCCCACACCGGCTAACGCGAACCAAAGTTTTCTAAATTTGACACTTTTTGTAAATAGCCGGCCTTCGACCGGGGCTTGAGATTTTCTTCTCTGGGTATGTCCCACACCGGCTAACGCGAACCAAAGTTTTCTAAATTGGATACCTTTTGTAAGTAGCCGGCCTTCGGCCGGGGCTTGAGATTTTCTCCTCTGGGTATGTCCTACACCGGCTAACGCGAACCAAAGATTTCTGAATTTCATTCTTACGCAAAATATACCTTTTTTATTGAAAACATAGTTTTAATGAACTGGTTAGAATCGGGTTATGCGGATGGAAAGACCCATATCTCTGGACTCAGTAAAGGTATTAGCACAAATTGAACCTTTTTGGAAAGGTAAGAGTGTCAGCTATAATTTGGAAACAATTTTGTTGACCCCCATAATGGGCCCTTTTTTGACTTTTTGGGGGTTTCATAAAAAATCCGGGTCCGATAATTCGACTATAACTTCCGAACCATGAAAACTTACCCCATCATGTGACCACTTGTTGGATAGGTATTTTCATAAGCTTTCCAACGATACCCATATTGTCTATATCGGGTAAGTGGATCCGGGTCTAGTAGGGGTCTCGAACCCGGACTTTCGGGGCAAAAATCTGGGGTCCCAGGTCCGTCCCCCAAGAAAAAAATAGTTTCCCGGGATCATGGTTAAAATACCTACCACTGAAAAAATTTTCGAAAAAATTGAAGAGTTTTTACTAAACTAGAGTTAAGCCGAAATCACACTATCACGCTTGGATTCCATCACAAAAAAAAAACTTTTTTTTCTAGAAAATTCTTACCAAAATGCTTTTGTTGTAAACAATATAATGAGCTGTCACTGGAATAATTTTAACAGCTGTCGGAGGAGTGGCTTGGAAATGACAGCAGTCTGAAATTGGTTGCAATTTTTTCATCTCACCCTGTATAAGTAAGTCTAGAGTAGTACCTATATTTCGAGAACCTTTCATGTCCCCTGGGGGCTTGGGGTAACTTGGTATGCGCGCAAAAATTAATAAATAAACAAAAGAAATGAATAAATATTCTTCCACTGGACTTTGACCCCATCAATAGACTTCTAAGATATAATATATTCTTTTTAGCTAATCTTCATAATTAATTAATAAAAGTGGATAATCCCTCTAAATAATTCGGCAAATATATAGTGAAAATAAATAGGTTGTTTAGATAACCATCATTTCATGTTTCCAAGAAATATGATAGGGAACAAAATTTCCACTACTTATCGCATTTAGACACAATTGCCGCAATATAACATTTCACTTTCGTTCAATGTTATGTTGAATAGAGGCGACGTCGTCATTACCGTATTTCTTAAATTTGACTTTGGGTTTTTGTTTATTTCTTGCTAGACGACTAGCTGACTGGCCGGTCTTATCTTTTTGTGGTGCCCAAATTATATCGTTTTTTTTCTGGTGGTGGTGCAGTGGTTGGGTGCTGTTTTGTTCGACGTCATAACACAGCTACTGCATATTGTTGTTGACTTTATACTTGAGACATAATAAATTTTTTGACTTCCGTTTTTATGCGGCACTCTCAAATACACGTACTTTTAATTTTATGGCATAATTTTTTAATCAGTAACAGAAGCTAAGATTTGTTTCTATTATTTGGAATATGTGCTGACGTTTGTTTGAATGCTGTCATGATAAACGATACAGATTTTTAATTTGGAAATATTTTCAAAAAATATTTTAGCTTTAAAGAAGATAATTTTCAAATACTTATAAAGCCACATTTTTTGGGAATGTATCTGAGAGCACGAGTAAAGATGTAGCGTGCTCCTACATAGAGGATTTTTCAAATGTGTTTGAAAAAAGACTCATGTCGAATTTAGCAATACGCCTTAAATGCTAGCCTATCTATTTTTATAGTCCCCAATATAGAAATAACATAACCGGCTCTTAAAGCTATCGCATCTTTCAAAATCAATTCTTCTGCAGTCCTGTGGTGTAGAACAGTCCTGGAAAATCTACATTGTAGTATTGAAAGCAATGAGAAAACCTATTAATTCGCAGTCAACAGAACTTAAAGTTGCCGACATGTTCAAACCCCCTCTGTCATTTTTACGGAGCATTAGAAATACTCTTCGGGGAGAAAGCCAAAGTGGAATATTAAGAGGCCACTGCAACATCCGAGCAATACTGTAGGCTGTGTGAGGATGAGGAAAAAAATGAAACGATCGAACTCCTTTTGTGCCATTGCCCTGCTTGTAAGGGAGAGACTACGAACATTAAACTCACGATCTCATTGTGTATTTAGGCACAGATTCCTTTGTCACCGCAGAAAGACTCTGGCGCCAGAGTTAAAACACAACTCATTCCGATGCTTTTTCCTTTTATCCTTCTTAACGTTTATTCCTTCTTTCTTTTCATTTTGACGCACGACGATCCCAATGGACCGAAAGGTCTCCGAGTGACGTAGTTACAATCTCACATCCTCTAATTTAACCTAAGCTAAACACCACCATAAAAAGGAGATTGTATTAAATTTGGCATACCGTTTGTAGTTCCTCCAAATATTAGCCTGAAATTCCACAAAGTATATATTCGTGGTGGGCATAAAATTCTAATTAGATTTAATGACGCCCGTCTGTCCGGAAAGAGTATACTAAAATTATACTAAGCGGATGGACCATCTGAAGCGCATTAGCGGTCAACATGCATGCATGAAATTATTTTTATTAATTTTGAAAAACTTTCCAATAGGTATCTCCAGTTATGTAGTATCTTGGAAAAATATTTCAACGAAAGTGTCTCAAATTTGGTATCTGATGTCCGATATTTAGTGTTCAGAACATTGTCAATTTAGATCCAGGTTTTCCTATAGGCCCCATATGACGATCCTTTCGGATATTATTGACTAGGTTACCCATATTATGAAAGGATGTGTCTTTAATTAGGCATTTGATGTTCGCAAAGGATACTAACCACTGCAGTAGGCAACTGACTACACAGGTCCTCGTTTTCCTACAGCCCTCCATATAACGGTACCGCCCAATTTATGGTATTTTGAGGAGTTTTACTGCATTCACCAATCAATTTCGTAGGCATTTGAAGTTTTAAATGGAACTTGTTTTGAGTATTGAATCCCGATGCTTTAACTTCTGAATGGGGGCTATTAAAAACTCTGTCCGGCTTAACTTAATGCTATTTATATCCTCTACCATGCTATGGAGGGTATATTAACTTTGTCATTTCGTTTGTAACTCTTCGAAATACACATGTCAGATCCAACAAGGGATACATTTTCTTGATCAGCGTAAAATTCGAAGTCGATTTAACGATGTCCATCCGTCTGTCTGTTAGAATCACGCTATCTTTTGAACGTATTGAGGTAGAAAGCTAAAATTTGGCACACGTGTGTATTTTGCCAATAGGCAGGTTATGTTCGTAAATGAGCCATGTATAGCCCCCATATAACGTTACCTCCCAATATTTGGTATTTTGATGATTTTAGCGAGATTAGTTACCGGAATTGTTTCAAATTTCTTATTTGAACTTCTGAATGGGTACTACAACCCATGACAAAAAATTACTTATGCAAGCTGGTATAGCCCCTATATAACGGTACCTCCCAATATTCGGTATTTTTATGATTTTTGAGACATTATAGACCGGATTGGTTTCAAATTTGGTATTTAAAGTTCATAATGGCTTTGTATATCCCCATATCACGATAACTCCCGATATTCGGTATTTTAATGATTTTTCGCCGGAATTATTTCAAATTTCGTATTTGAAGTTGGGAATCGGTACTACAGTCTATGATAAAAAATTGCGTATGCAGGCCCACGTCTTCGTATAGCCCCATATAACTTCGTATAACCCCCATTTAAACGGTATTTTTATGCGATTGTTTTTTTAACATTTCCAGGTTCCTTCCAAATGGTGGAGGGTGTAAAAAGTTCGGGCCGGCCGAACGTAGGCTTCTTTTTACTTCTTTTCTTTGTAATTTTTTCAACATTGAACTTACATTTGTTTATCGTATCAGCGGTGGCCACCACGTGATGCTGACTTGAGATATTTTTCAATATTTTATCTGCACTTTCAATGAATTTTTGCAGATTAGATGTTGGTATTAGAACATCTGAATCTGATATTTTATTTTGTTGTGCTTGTTGTTGTTGCTGCTGCTGTGATTGCTGGCCTTCGGGTGATTGCTGTTGTTGCTGCTGCTGCTGTTGTTTCATTTCACCTGCTCCTGTACCAGAACCGGCTGATGCTGCTGAATTGTTAATATTAACTGTAAGTGGAGAGAGGGAGAGAGAGAGAGAGAGAGAAAAAAATCGAATAAGTAAACAATTTATTTATAATCTACAAAAAAAATGGATAAAAAGCTAACAGAGACGTTTTGAAAATGTGTACTAATTGTGCGAACTGTACTAAATGGTAATTCATTTGAGAATGTTTTGGGTGAACGGATAAAGTTGGAATTTTGAAATTTTGCGTTAGGGTCCCTGTTGCTGGTAGGTTTGTGATAAAGAGGTGGGTTTGGAAAGTTTGTACTACAACTGCTTGAAAAGTACTAAATAGTACTATTTTTGGTACAAATTGGTATTGAGTGAATAAATAGTGCTTGCATTTTTACATTTTCTATTAGGGTCGCTGTTTATGTGAATCTTGGACATATGGAGGTGGTTTCGGAAATGCGTCCTGTAATTGTACGAAAAGTACTGAATGGTACAATATTCGGTACTGGGTGAAGTGATAGAGATAGAATTCTAAAATTTGATATTTAGGTATTTATATGGGAGCTATATCTAAATCTGATTCGATTATCACCAATTTCAATAGGGTTCGTCCTATGCCAAACAAATGATGTTTGCAAAATTTCATCTCATCGGATAATAAATGCGACCTGTATTTTGTTCCCAAGAATACATGGACGGACTGACATGCATAAATCGACTCAGAAAGTAATTCTATGAAGATCATCAAAAGTAACTATGGGTCTATCTCGCTTCCTACCCTACCACTATGTGATCTAGGGTATAAAAAAGAGCTCAAACTTAAATCATCGAATCCTTTAAAACTTACCTAAATTATTTTCAACAGCCTGGACATATTGTTCCTCTTGCATTAAATCGTTGTTTTGATTATTGAAATGGTCCAAGGCGGTATCATCGCCAACACCACCTCCGACACCGAGTGTCAAGTCTTCGGCGCCACCGGTGCCAGTTTCCCCTGCAGCACCAACATCTGTGCCCGGTCCATCACTACCACCACCATCTATGGCATTTTCATCAATGGTGGGCTCACGATGATGCGTTAATTTTTTAATGACGACCACATCGTTGCCATGACTGCCACCACCACCACCTGCTGATGGTAGATTCTCGTAACGTATATATGGCGGGGCAGCCCTGTTGTTCTTGACATTGGCACTTGCCACCGGTTCGAAGACATCGGCGTTACTGCCAGCGCCGCTGCTGCTTTTATTTGCCATTGAAAAGGCCATCAGTGAGGCCATAGCTGTATTGCGCATGGGCGGCGGCGCTAGGGTCTGTGTGGATGAATAGGAGGCATAGATAAATATGGTTAGAACAACAATGGACACCACAATTAGAAATCTCAACAAACGAGTATTGTGCATGTTGCTGGCCATGGCAAGAGTATTGGCTTTGCTAAACACCCCGGTGTTGGAATAACTGTTGTCTGGTAATATTAGCCAAGTTGTGATGATTCTGATGCAGCTGATGCTTTCTGGTTTGGCCGCTGCATTAGAAAAAAAGTTATGAAGCAGTTGTGTTTCTGTTTCTGTTGTTGATTAAGGACTTCTAAAATATGAGTTGCCCGCACACAGCTGGAGGTTGTCGTTTTGGCTTGTTGGTCCCCGTCGTCTTGGGTGATGCTTCTCTGCTTCAGGTTCTATGTGTTTTGACTGGTTTTTTGCTTAGCTTGTCTTGTTGTTCTGTTATGGCCAAAACAAGAGTTTTAATCGGACAACAAACAAGTTACACGCGCAAAAAAAAATATATTATATCAGCGGCAAAAAAGCCAGAGTTGTTGTCTCAGGGTGATGAAGGTAAAACTGGAATGCTGGCTGGCTTTGGAAAAAATGTAAATGGTCTGTTGTTGTTGGACTAATGACTAGTTACGTCGACGTCGTCGTTGTCGTGGTTGGCCTTATGTCGTTGCTATCTTGTGGCTTGTCTGACGGTTTGTCTGCCTGGCTGCCTGCCTTCCCAAGTTTTTGGTTTTGTTGACGGACTTTGTTTTTCTTTTTGTTTTGTTTTAAAGACTTTTGCGTTTTTTAATTGTTTAAAACCAGAGGGGGGGGGGGGTTGGATGTCTGCTTTAATGATAATAAGAGTATATTGTTGTTACTGTTGTTGATTTTGTTATTGCATCTTAATCATTGTACATTTTGTTGTGGTTGCCGTTGTTGTTGTTGTTGTGTTTGCTAATATAATATATTTAACTGGAGTAAAGAGCAGAGCCGCAAAATTTTTGCCTAGTTTACTCTCAATATCATCCAAGCGTATTGGTTTTTTGTTTGTTTGTTACTAAGACTATATTTGTTGTTGCTGTTTGTAGTTTGTTGTTGTTGTATTGGTTTATGGTGGATCTAGTTGAATAAGCTGCGCATGCTCAGTCTCATAGGTATTTTTGTTTTAATTCTCTAGTTTTGTTTTTAGCTTTTTGTTGTTGCTATTTTGTTTTTGGGTGAAATATGGCCGCGTTGTCGTCACAAAAATTCGTAGTCTGCTTCTTCTTCCTTGATTTCGTCAGTGTTCAGCCGAGACAGTTGACTGCCTCCATTTGCATATTTCTATGTTAGTTCCTGCCGGAGTAAAGAAGAAAAGACAAAAAATATTTGAATAAAATTAAAAATTTAAGTAAATGCAAATAAAAAACACTAAATATAGAAACAAAAAAAAAAACCTTTTTGTGTAAATATTTACAAGTTTCGAAAAAAGTTTAGGTGACCTTGACAGAGAAAAGAAAGATTTGACATTTTAACAATGAAAAAATTCTATAGAAAGAATGAGTCATTTGAAGAGGTTGGTTAAAGAAAAAATAGCTTGAAATTTGTCTGCTTTTTTATACCCTCCACCATAGTATGAAGGGGATATTAAGTTTGTCATTTCGTTTGTAACACCTCGAAATATACATTTTAGACCCCATAAAGTATATAAATACTTGATCAGCATAAAATTCTATGTCGATTTAGCGATGTCCGTCCGTCTGTGGAAATCACTTTAGCTTCCGAACAAAATGAAGCAGGTTGATAAAATGTTACTCTAATGTATATTACGTCTGCAGGAATTTTGATATTGGTATATGGGACATGTAGGTCCACGTCTTCGTATAGTCCCCATATAACGAGACCTCCCGATATTCGGTATTTTGATGATTTTAGCGACATTATTCTCCAGAGTTGTTTCAAATTTGGTATTTGAAGTTCGTAATGGATACTATAGCCCAAGACAGAAAATTGTCTGTGCAAGTCCACGTCTTCGTATAGCCCCCATATAACGGTACCTCCCTATTTTCGGTATTTTGGTGATTTAAGCGACATTATTCACTGGAAATGTTTCAAATTTGGTAGGGGATACTACAGCCTAACATAGAAAAGTCCACGACTTCGTATAGCCCCCATATAACGGTAACTCCCGACATTCGGTATTTTGATGATTTTGGCTACATTATTCACCGAGTCTTTTTCAAGTTTCGCATTTAAATATTGTAATGGCTTATTACAAAAGTTGCCTATGCAGGTCCCCGACGTCGTATAGACCCTAATATTACGGCTATATTCGGTATTTTTAAGATTAACTGAATTTTAAACGTTTTTTTTTTTTTTTGAAAATTGTCGAATTCGTTCTAAATGGTGGAGAGTATCCAATGTTTGGCCCAGCCGAACTTAGAGCTTTTTTAATTGTTTTGTAGAAAAAATAGACCTAATTTTTAAAATTAACTTAACCATTTTTTTTTTTTTTGAGAAAAAAGGTAGAAATTTTGCCAAGTGGTAATATCATTAAAATTATTAGCCCATAATTTATTATACCGCCCCTCAAATGGTCAATATTTTTCGCATAAAAAATATTGGTCCAATTCTTCTGTTACCCCTTCTCATAAAATACTAGCAAGTACCCAATACTTCGTCAGCGAAAGACCATCATAAAATTTTAGATTCGTTCCGACAGTTCGTGTTAGGCACTTTGACAATTTTTTTTTCAATCCAAAAGTTTTATATGTTTAATTCAAGTTTTTCCTTTTTCGAAAGAGAATAATGGGAAAATGTTTAAATTTTACACCAAAAAGTCTTCAAAATCTTTCATTTTGAATTTTAACGAGGAGGATATAAGTAAAACCATTGCACAATGGACCCACAACCAATTTTTCTGTTTAAAATTATTTCAACGCCTCCATATGTAAACCATTGAAAACAATAGCGACCTCAATATCAACATTTTAGGATTCCAGCCCTATCTCTTCACTCAATACCAAATTTAGTATCATTTGGTACACTGATTTAAAACAATCTACAATATAGTACACATTTCCAATACCACCTCCATATCTTAACCACAGACACCAGAAATTACATCCATATCGAATTTGAGGATACCAGCTCTATCCCTTCACCCAAAACCCAATTAAGTACCGTGTAGTACTTTTCGTACAAATATAGTACACAATTCCAAATCCATATCATCCATATTAAATTTCAGGATTTCAGCTCCTTTCCTTCATTCAATACCAAATATATTACGAATTCGTACTTTCCGTACAATTATGGTACACATTTCCGAAACAACCTCCATATGTCCAGGCTAATACAAAATTTCAAACTGCAAGCACTATCTTTTCACCCAAAACCAAATTGTACTAAATATAGTACTATTTAGCACACCATCTTCATATCTCAGTTCCAGATACCAACAGAGACCTTAATATCACATTTGAGGATCCAAGCCCTATCCTAGCAGCCAATAATAATTTAGTGTCATTTAGTACTTTTCGTACGAAAATAGGACGCATTTCCAATCCATCGCTAAATCTCAAACACAGATTCAATCAGTAATCTAAATACCAAATTTAAGATTTTTATCTCAATCCCTTCACCCAATACTAAAAATAGTACCATTCAGTACTTTTCGTACGAATATAGTTCACATTTCCCAAACACACATCTCCATAACATAACCACAGACACCGAGAGTGACATTCATATCAAATTTCAGGATTTCAGTTCTTTTCCTTCACCCAATACCAAATTTAGTACGACTTAGTACTTTCCGTACAACTATAGTACACATTTCCGAAACCACCTCCATATGTCTAGGCTACACATGAACAGCGATACTAATACAACATTTCAATCTGCAAGCACTATATTTTCACCCACACCAAATTTCAGATTTCCAGCACTAGTAATTTTCGTACTTTTAGTACTTAATTAAATTCGAATGTGTTCTTAGTGTAATAACTGTACTATATGGTACTAAATTTGATAAAATTTGGTCTTTCGTGAAAGTATAAAGGTGGAATGTTGATGGAGGATGTGAATTTGGCAACCCGTATTGTAACATGTATGACAAGTACTAAATGGTACTAAATTTGGTATGGGTATAAAAATATGCTTCTGATTGCCCTTAAACATATTTCTAAGCCCCACCACTCTAATATACAAAATTTTCACACATTTTTCTTACCCGCTTACATATATGTGTACATTTCTACGTACGTATGTCTGTATCTACTCCACACACACACACACACACACACAAAAACACCCAGTGATGGAAGTAAAGTGACCTTCCTATTTGGTTGGGTGTAAATATGAAACTAACGAAAAAACACAAATTCTCAGCGCATCACATCATATTGACACCTCAAGGTCACAGCCGGTGATGATGAGCCATCTTCATAGGAGGCGCCATAAGTACTGATAGACTGACTGATGACGACTACACACAAGGCATGGACAATGAGTCTGTTGTTGTTGTCAATGGAGATTATGATAATTTGAGGAAGGAGGCATTCATCGGCATCTTATCATCTTCATCATCGACATCATAAAGATTAATGGCAAGTTTTGGGTTGTTAAGTTAATTGTTGTTTATTTGCTTTAAAATAAAGTACTTCATTTCATAGAAAAACAAAACAAAAAAAAAAAAAAAGACAGGAGTACATTGTACAATTATGTTTGTGGTTTTGGGGGCTATTTCGAACGAATTTATTAATACCTGCCTGCAAGGTAAATGAACCCATTCAATGCTACTGAAAAATGCTTTCCAAAATTTTGGGTTCCGACAAAAAAAAAATAATATGACACGAAGTCTGATCGTTTATTTTTAAGCTTACCGAGGAAGATATAAGTAAAACAATTGCACAATGGACCAACATTGTATATTTCTGCCCAAAACCATTTCGACTTTTCCATATGTGAATCCTAGAAACCAACAACATTGGCCTCAATATCAAATTTCAACTCTATCCCTTTATGCCAAAGCATATTTAATAACATTTAGTGCGCATATCTAACAATCTTCGTCTCTCCATCCTAGACACCAAAAGTGATTTAGTACCATTTAGTACTTTCCGAATAATTATAGTACGTATTTGCAAAACTACCACCAGATACTAACGGAGACCTGAATATTAAATTTGAGGATTTCAGTCCTATCCTTTCACTCAATAGCAAATTTAGTACAATTTAGTACTTTTCGTACGAATATAGGACGCATTTTCAAACCACCGCCAAAATCTCAAACACAGATGCCATCAGTAATTCAAATATCAAATTTTAGAATTGTATCTCTATCCCGTCATTCAATTAAAAGTACTTTTCGTTCCATTATAGTACACATTTCCAAAAAAAACATCTCCATAACATAACCACAGACAGAGACACCGACACTGGCATCCATATCAAATTCCAGGATTTCAGAACTATTTCTTCACCCAATACTAAATTTAGCCATTTTTAAACCCACCTCCATATATCCAGGCTACACATGTTTACCCAATACCAAATTGTGCCAAATATAGCCCAATTTAGTACTTTTCGTACAATTATAGTACGTACAGGGTGAGATAAAAAAAAACTCCATCAAAGTCAAACGCCATAATTTTTTCATTTTTTTTAAATTTCATTGAATAAAGACAAAAAATGTCGTAAATAGCATCAAATTTTAGAATAAATTTAGATTTGTTCGAATTAGCCACCTTTGGCACGAATTGTGGCCTTCAAACAGCCAATGAAATCGTTACACGCTGCCCGAATGTTGCTCTGCGGTATTTTGGCCCATTTCCGGCGAAGCGCTTGCTTGAGGTGATCGACACTTTGGCATTTTTTAGTGCCAACCTTGCTTTCCAAAATACTCAAGACACAATAGCCCAACGGATTGGTATCCGGAGATTTTGGTGGCCATTGTGCGCTGGAAATGAAGCGAGGAACCTCATTTTGTAACCATTCTTGGGTGGCGCGTGCTGAGTGCGATGGTGCCAACTCCTGTTGGAATGTCCAAGGTCTGAGGCCAAAAATGTTTGCGTGCCCAAGGCTTTAATACACCCTCCATAATATTTTCGCGATAATATTTGGCATTTATTCTAATGCCACAGTCGATTAATACGAGCGGAGAGCGACCATCGTCTGTTTTGGCGGCCCACACCATCACCATGGCCGGCGCTTGAGTTCTGGTGGCCAACCGAAGGTGTACATTTTCAGCTGACCTCTTTGGCAAGTAAACACGATCATTGCTGCTGGACAACAAATGTTTTCTCATCGGAAAAAAAAACCAAATTCGGCAGTACACCACTTTCGGCCAAACG